TTTTTTCATCAGGTCTCCTAAAGGCCAAAACAACTGTGTGAGGAAGCAGTCATTCCATTTCATATCCTTTCTCCCAATCTGAAGGTTTGGGAGAAGGTTTGAAGCCCACCAGGGGATGGCACTTCATCCACCATCAAGCAGTGATGGTGAGAAGAAATGTTACTGATGCACTGCAGCACATGGAGCTCTTGCTAAGACAACCTGCTGGGACTAGAGGGTCATTTCATAGTCCTGCTGGGACTAGAGTCAGTCATTTCAGTGGCACCCAAAGCTGATGAGGAAAACTAAATACACAATATTCTCATTCTCGTGTGTTGTTCTGCAACAGGGAAGTTGCTAGAAGCTCTCCAGCTACTGAGCAGCACAGGCATTGCTGCTTGAAGCCCCGACTGCTCCAGAAGCTTCTGACTGACATAAACACTGGCTTTCAGAAAGAAGGAGGATAGATATCTTCTATTTTACAGCTTCAGAGAAGGAGAGCAAGTGAATACAAATATGCACACCACTAGGGAACGGAAACAAATCTTCATTTTCTTCAGTTGTATCAAAAGAAATGTATAGAACTGATTTCTCTCAATAAAGACTGTCATCAACATGATTTGCAGGAGCACCATCAGTTATCACACAATTTTAGACAGAAAAGTAGAAACATTCTGATTTGACGTTCCATTTTGATAGTGCCAAAACATTATATCTCCATAAGTTACATTTTATTTCATCATGATTCATGGTGACTTTATGTTGTATGTGTTCTGGCACCATATTCCAGTTTTAAATGCTATATATCACAGGGATTTTGTTTATATAGAACCTGTCACATTTAATGGGGAAATGTCACATACGTTTAATGTGTGACATTTAATGTTAATGTCATGCAGACCCTGGGAGTACTAAGCCCTGCCACGTCCATTCACTTGCTCTAAGTGTGAAATGTTGCTGCCTTCTTCTGAAACATCTGATATGGTACAGTTATGAAAACTACTCTGTACCAGAGTACAAGTCTGAGAGGTATCTATGAGATGGGTAGCACAGCAACTACTTAGATGTGCTCCTCTTGGACGTCTGACAATTAAAGACAATTAAAGACACCACAGTGTCTTCACAGGAAGATATAATCTTTGGGTGTTTTCAGAGTAACGTGATGTTCAAGTGGTTTTAAGATCCAATTTCACCAGTGAACTGAGCATCGGTGAAAGCCAAAGCACCTGGACATTAAATATTCTGCAGTGAGAATGAAGGTGGCTGCAGGGAGGCTGACCTTACCACTGCACATTTCCACAGTGTGATTTTGTTCCAATTTTCTTGTTTGGTCTTAAAGTCCTGAAAAAACTCTTCTGTCCTTTCACTTGGAAGCCAGACTTTCAGTGCTCTGAAAAAAGCAGCACAGTTTCTCCTGGGATCCCAGGTGAATACTGCAGCCCAGGCTGTAGGCATCTGAAACGAGTTCCTCAGTTCCTCTTCACACCCACTGAAGTGAGAGCACAAAGGTTATGTTGCAAATTAAGTTTTACTGACAGCGTCTCTAGGCTGTCTAAATCTGATTTTGATTTGCTGGTCATGTGCTCCGCAGACATTCAAAACCTGAAGGCTTAAAATCTACTTTCAGTCAATTTTATTTCTGCTCAGAAAGGACTATCTCAATATTTCACTGATGGCTCGATGAAGGCTTGATTCGTCTGTGCATGTCCATAGCAATGCTGCTCTCCATTAAGAATTCTACAGACAGGGATAAAGTAAGGGGAAAGGACACACAGATTTCTTAACTCGATTTGTTGGCAGCTCTCTAGCATCAAATGCAGGCATTAGAGATCCGCAGGCTTATTTCCTCAAGGGAAGCAAGGAACCCTCAGTCACACTTTGCACACTGCAGGAAATGGAGGCTCAGCTCCGCCGCCAGCCTGGTGACCACAGAACACCTCCTGCCTTTCCTGCCCCTCAGGCTCCGCACCCTCCCGACTCACCTCATGGGTAGAGTCATTTTATTTCACCAAGTTACTAATAGTGAACATGCACTACTGCTGTACCACGTTTTTACTGATCTTGCTCACAAAGTGTTGTGCTTCAGTTTATGTTAGAGCAGGGCCCAGGAAGAAGAAAAGGGCTTCAGAAGTGGCACCCTTCTGATGGCAAAGGTGCAGCTAAACTTCACTGAAATTTCTTCCCAACCTCATCCTCTCTGGTCAAGATAAGCAGGCCCAGTTCTTCTTCCCTCTTTAAAAAGCAGGGTCTTTTGACACAGAAAAACTAATGTATTTGTGCAGAGGGCAAAAGCAACACATGATCTGGAGAACGAACTTCTTAGATACTCTGAACTTGAAGGCCACTCCATGCTTTCAGATCAATTTTAGTTTCCCTGTTTGATTTTGGTGTTCTCATCTCTGAAACCTTCGGTGAGGATGCTTTGATCCACAGTGCTGATGTGAAAACCCCAGAAAAGCAACCTCAACAGCAAAAATGCTGACAGGTTCACCTAAAAGTACCACTGAAAGACACTGGAAGATAAATAGTATATTCAAGGCCTGCACTGCAAAGAGAATTCCAAAATGCAGCATTTCCAGACTGTACACTAAAATTGTAATACAAATATCCTAGCATTTATCTGGAAACTCTAATGAAATGGACATTCATCCACCAGCCAGCAGCCCTTTTCAGAAAGGGCTTTTCCTTTTAGGAAATCCGGTGAAAAGTGGAACTTCCTTTCTGTTAATACAGTTTTCATATTTGCTAAGTTGTTTTTTGACTGGTAAAAATGGGATCCAAGCAAGCTGGGGGAGATTGCATTAGGTGTTGCTATTGCCTTTGGCATCCTTTCTGCAGAACGTGTTAAAAACCCTTCATGTTCAATTCCACTCTTCCATCAATGGAAGTTCAAACCTTTGCTCTTCACTTCAAGCCAGAAACTTCTGGGATGGGAACCTCCAGTTCTCACCTGTGACCTCACAATGCTCACAATGCAGCTGATTGCCGTTAACAACTAAAATGCAAACATCTGCTTATCCTCTGCTAAAAAAAATAAGAGATTGATAAAGCTGAAATTACACAGTTAATGGTGTGGTCAGTCTACCACAGACATGTAATCTTGTTTCTGAACACTACACCTAACCTCATTCTAATGAAATTAAAGTAAATCACTAGTGCTGTTTCCTCAGCTATTTTAAGCCACCTATAATTTTACAGACAATAACAACAAGGACACATTCTCGAATTTTTGGAAGAAAAATAAGTTAACTCAAGGAAGAAACACGGTCTTTTATATGTAATCACTGCATACAATACTCTGCACTCCCACATAAATCTGAAAAAGGCAAAAATAAGTGCAATTATATAAGAAAGTTCTAGCACAAACAAGAAAAACACATAACTGACAGGGAAGATGTTACTGCTGTACAATGCCTTCCAAGAAGCAGGCCAAGAAACAGTTTTTATCTGAAAACAAGAAGGCATGAATTATTGAAGAACTTGCCCATTTGTTACCAGAAGTACTTTGTCATGTAAATGAGCAAAGGGTTTTGAAATTTCCTAGATAAAAGCAGGTCCCAGAATTTGATTTAAGATCAGTTCTTCGTTGTTCACATAGGATTTGTGGTTAGAGTGGTTAGGCCCTGGAACAGGCTGCCCAGGGAGGTTGTGGATGCCCCGTCCTTGGACGTGTTCAAGGCCAGGTTGGACGGGGTCCTGGGCAACCTGATCTGAATGTGTGTGTTTGGTGGCCCTGCTGGGCAGGGGGGTTGGAACTACATGATCCTTGAGGTCCCTTCCAACCCAGGTGATTCTGTGATTCTGTGATTCTGTGATTTGCAGAAACATTTCCAGGAGTATTAAACTAGTAACTTGATAATCACCACTGCTACATCTTATGAAAAAAGTACAGCTCTCCTGAAACACATAAATCACCATCTCTGTAACGTTTCAAAATCACGGAGTTCACGTGGCCTCAGACGTGCGATGGAGCTGCTAATAAGAGAATAATAAACTCTGAAAAGCTACAACACAGCCTGAATAGTGAGCCTGGAAGACGCATCTGACAACCAGACGGGACGCTGGTTCCCTTTACATACCATGCACCACAGCACAGGCTTTGATTTTAGCACCAGTAATGAGCATCAGAGCAGACAGAGGCAGGTTGAGGCGAGGCAGGAGCACGTAGCAGAGATGGAGAGAGCAGCTTCTGGGCTCTGAACAGTGCTGTTATTTATGTGCAAATACTTCATATTAAATTCATCAAACCTGCATAAAATTTCAGTCTGGAGCAGCAGACAAGGATGAAACTTCATTTCCTACAAGCACATTGCTTAAACACTGAAACATACATAAGGAGTGTCTGTAAAGCTCTTCTTAATTCAAAACTGATCACTTAAGGGATATTTATCCAATTCCTAAAGAGTTTTAATTTTTATCCTCTCATTTCAGGCATAGAGCTGGTACTGGCAATGAACACGATGGAAATCACGAGCTCCAAACTGTGAGGCATGCATTTCAGCACCTTACCAAGTGAGGTCAGCTTCAATTTATTAAAAATCTTAAATGCATTTGAAAGTAAATATTTCCTCAGAGCCAGACAGAAATCAAACTCCCTACGGCCCAAACTCATCAGAATCATGTAACCTGCGTCTAAACTCTCGAATAACTTTTTAAAGTTAAAAGCAAAGGGTAAAAAGAAGTCATAAAGCTACCAAATTTGAGAGCTCATTTATGACTTGTCACTTGGGAGGATTGGAAGATTACTTGACCAAAATACTTAATGATTTAAGAACTATCTAGTTACGAAGGCTTATGGCAAAATGTGAATTTGCAAATGCTTAATTATAGCTCTTGAAAGAGGTAGCTATAATTACTAGAGAAACTAATTTTAAGACAGAGCACTATATGACAAATATAATTAAGAGAAGAAAAATAATGAGTATATATTAACTGCAAGAGTACCTTAATCATGAAAACTAAAGAAAACATTTGAACAAGATAATCTATACATCTTAGCCATACTTTAACACAGTACTCACCTTAGAACACATGTGTAGAAACCACTGTCTTGCAAGTCAACTGAGTGAAACCATATTGAATCTTCATCCTTGCTCATTCTAACTTCAGAAAATATAATGGGTTCTTCTAAGTCTCCTTTGTTTTTGTACCACATAAGCCTAAGACCTGTGCTTTGGGCCATGCTATAATTAGTTCTGATATAGCTGTAGAAAAGGGCACATTTCACTCGGACTGGTTCACCTGCCAAAGCCATGTATGTCTTGAGATCCACTGACCAGTCAATGCAACCATCAACTGAAAGCAAAACAATGATAAAGAAATATTAGATACAGATATATTTCTCAAGGTAGCGAGAAGCAGCCTATAAAATGCAACACAATTAATCAAAAGAAACGAATATTTGTTTCATAACAGGGTGATAAACCTGTGGCAGCTATTAGATATTAAATGGTTTCATATATTTTTTTATTAGTTACATGTAAACATAAAATATGCAGGCTGTAAGAGCAGATTATTATTATTATTATAGCACATTAGATCTGCTCAACACAATTTCTTTAGAATATTGTTTCCTTCATCTATTTTCATTAATTCTTTAATAAATAAACCAACTGTTTTCACTTGCTCAAATAAAACACTTTTGAATTCAGTAATTCTTTGTTGGAGGAAAAGTATGTTGGTATCTGATCCTAACACTTCCATCCATCTCTGCTAGTTACGTTACTTAAGAAATAAAAGATGTGGCCGTTATTCTTTTCTCAGGCAGTTCCACTTAGCCTTTTCTTTTTCCTACAGTCTACTCAAACTACAGAGACAGTAATATGTCCGAGGAGATACAGCCACAACAAGCTGCACGACACAACTGCAACATGCTGCCAACGCCACCACGCTGACACAGATCTTGCACAACTACAGAAAGGGATTTTCTGATGTTCTGTTCAGCAAACACTTTTGAAACTGGGCTCTCACAGGGTTGACACTTCAGTTTAAAAGCGACTTTGTCAGCCAAAAGATTAATTCTCCCTACATTTTTCCTCTCGTTACTTCTAAATCATCTTGGTTACAATATAATCCTAGAACATACGTACATATCAACAGGGAATTTTCCCTCACATATCAAAGACCTTTTCATTCCATCTTTTTTATTCCTAGAAAACCAGGAAATCTCAAAGTCAACCAAGAACATGACCAAAGAAAAAGACTGCAAGGCAGACCGGCAGCAGGCAAACACATTGCCTAAGATCAATACACTTGATCAAATATATATTTTGCAGAATTTCTTGATCGTATCCAGCTACATGTAACTGAAACATCTTTATCCTTGATGTACTATTTGACAACTTCAACCTTACATCTTCTGCATTTAGAGCATCAATTCTCCAAATCTAACTTTTGAATGCTCTCATGTACGTATCATTTCACAAACACCTTCAATAGCATTCACTCTTTATATGACTTTATTTATTTCCAAACAAATGTACCGAGCCAAAATATGTAAATACGCAGGAATACCAGATCCAGTACTTAATGTCCTTTCCTACCTTTAAATTACATTTACCATTTCTTCAGGCTTCTCCTGAATCCTCCAAAACCAGTCATGGCAAATGAGAGGTTTTACTTTCCCCGTAACTTTGCATCAGCTTCAATTGTACTGTGGCCACAGCAATCAGGCAGCTGAACACTATTTTAAACCCATTCATACATTTCTAATACATAAACTTTCACGCGACATCTTGGTAAAACCAACAAACACAGCCCAGGACAGGAGGAACAGGAACCCATGACTCAGAACTGGATGCTCGGTGTCACAAGAGCAGTCCAAGGCAATGGGAGATGGGCCAGAGCCACCTTCTGCCATGCACCCAGCAGCAGCCGCTGCTTGTGCCAGCTGACTTCTTGCTTCAAAAAAGCCCCAAGGCAAAAATACTCACTGCAGTTACATACACACAGTTTCTGTTAACTTCTATTTTTACTGCCATATTTCTTTCTCTGAAAGCTCGCTGAGAATTACATGAAATGCAAAGCTGGAAGCAGTTCACTGACGTCCCTTCCTTACTGCTGCAGCATCACTTCCCCTCCTGGGTTTTCCCTGTGAAAGTTTAGTGCCACAAAGAACACGACAAGTTTGGCTAATCATTACTTGAAAATCACATATTGAAATATTTGTCCTCAACACATCCCCTCTATTTTTATAAGATCCTTTTTATCATCAAAGCTGCATGCTAGAAGTCAAACAGTCTCTTGCTAGGACCACATCACACACTGCCCCCTTCCCTCTCTGCTGTGCAGTGACACAAACACAGGCAGCTAGGAGCAGAGCTGGGATAGGAATCCAAATCCCCCAAGTCACTCCAATCCGTTTTTACAGTTAAGCACTGCTCCAACACCATGAATAATTTTATATATATAGGTGGCATTAAGGGCATTTGCATAGAATTGGTCTCAATGCAGAGCTTTGTCAAAGAAGCTCTGTGCTGTTTTGCTGCTGTTGTTTGTGGGTTTTTTTTAAGTCCTTTTCTTTAGGTAGGTGCAAGCTTACAAGTAAAAAGGATTGCAGAGTTTGCAGCCTCATTCTCCCAGTAAGGAATGTCAAAGGAAATGTTGAGCAATCCAGATTTCTCATCTGCATTCTCCAGGACATGCAGACACTCTCAAACACTTTTCTTCCCCTGTAGTTTAGTAAAGTCACAACACTCTAAGTAGACGTGTAAGCTCAAATGAACAGGGGTGTCCAGAACTGGAATTCAGATCCAAACTAATTCCGCCAATCTAATTAACTCTGTCAATCTTCTGTCAATCTAATCCTGCAAATGTCATCTAAAGCTTTCAAACCTGTGCTGGCTCAGCAAAGTTAAAGCACAGTAAAGAATAACTGATGTCCAGGTACACGCAGAAAGCCTTCCGGTCAAGCAGAAACGTGCCGGTTTTCCATTATCACAAAGCAGAGCCACAATTACAGCAGTTAGGCAGTTAGGCTCTGACCTAGTGTGGAAATCCAACTTTAGAAGCTGTAAATGCCACTGTTTCCCATAAAATTTCCCCCACAGCAGACACTGCATTTTGACAAGCACAGCCCAAAGACAAGCAAAGCTCACACCGCTCTTCATCTCCCTCAGCCTCCACTCTCACTTGAAAATTTCTTCTCCCATCCGCCAAGCACTTTGCTACTCTTTTCTTCAAAATTACAACTGCTGAACTGTTACAGCTGTATTGCAACACTGGAACAGATGAAAGATACAGGAACGGTAGCAGCGAATCAGGACAATACAGATGCTGGGCCGGGGCTCTGCCAGGCTGCGGGGGCACTCGTGGCCTGGGACACAGCGAGCTGATCACAGTCAGCACCTGCATCCCAAAAGGAGAAACGAAAGAAAGGAAGATTTACACTGTGGCCTTCTTCCCGTTAAGGGCAGCTATGGGGAAGAATTCAGCATGCAAGCCGGCTCTGGGCAGTGAGCAGAGCACAGCCAGCAGTGGCTGCAGCACGGCGCTCCTGCAGCGCGCGAGGTGCTCATCACAGAGAGCACAGCCACCGTCCTTTGCAGGGCTGATGACATCTGCAGAGGGGAGGGGGAAGTCTCACAGAGCTCCCTAATGAAATCTTAGTTTTTGAAGAAAGGCTAATCAAACAGGAGATGACTTTTTCCCCTTACTCTCTTTTTCTTGTTAAATAAGGTCAGGAATGTTCCCACTTATGAAGCTGTAGAGGCTTAAATCTAGGTCAGGCTCCCTGCGCTCACATGGAAGCCGGGATGTTTCCTCTCGCCGCGCTGTCAGTCACTGGAGCGTGTGCATTGTCAGATTAATTTGGAGCATTCTCCAGGCTGTCATTACAAATGGCTGCAGCTGCCTAGGTGGAGTTTAGCGCTCCGTTATCAAGAACAAAGTTTGCTGTCATTTTGGCTGGGCTGGATCTCAATACGTAAAGAAATTAGGGTGCTAAGAAGACAAAAGCGATGGTGTTAGAGACACCGTATTAAAAGAATGTATATATCTTTCCTCTGCTACCTAATAATTAGCTGATCCTTAATAAATGCCTGATTGAGAGCTCATTCAGATCAAATCCTCTCCGTCGTGAGTGTATTTCAGACAATTTCAGTTAAGACAATTCTTTGAAATACGCTCTAAAATTTAGAGCATTGAGACAATATAGAAAACATTGTCCCATTTCTAGCCTGGCTTCCAGAGAAAGTAAAGCTGCCCGTCTGTCTGTCTGTCCCACATCTCCAGCAGAACACTGACTGAATGCAATCCTATTTTGTAGTACGTGAAAGGGCTGTGCTACAGGAGAGCCCTGCATGGGTGCAGGAGAGCTCTGCAGCACTCAGTCACAGTGGGCACACTGCAGGACCATCCCAGCTCTCTGTCCAGGCTACAGCTACTTGAGGAGACGGTGAATTGAAACAGAAGGTTTCAAATTTATAAAATAAAAAACAGATTAAGTCAGCTGACAGTAAGTTACTGTACTTCTGTGTTAGCAATCACTCGAAGTGTGCACTGCACCTCCTTCCCTAATATTTCCTGGCTATTTGCTGCTATTCTTATTTTGAATAAATCTAGACGTCTAGGGATTCTAGATGCATTTTAACATGAACCATAATAATTTATGAGCAATTACAAAAGAGCATGTACATAGCCTCTAAGTAATTTGTCTTTCTGCTTGCTGTCATACACATAATTTTTGCATTGTGAATCTGCCTGTAATAATTTTTGTAGGGATCTGCCACCTACAGTAATTTATATCGCAGGATTGTTAAACATGTTTGCCTACCTTGTTACCTGAAATCTCATTTTAAATTGAAATCGTCTACAAATAAATAATTAATAAATAAATATGCTTGCTAATGGACTAAATTTATTGCTCTACAAAGCGAGAAATGCCTGCGACTGTAAATATTTAGGGGGAAAAAAAAAAGAACAAAAAAAAACAAACACAAAAAACCAAACAAACCAAAACCCAAAAACCATTCCTTGGAGTTATATTTTATTTATATATCATCCATAGAATGGCAGAGCCTGGGAACTGACATCCATAACGTTTGGAATTTGCAGGCACGTAGCAACAATGCATGAACTCAGGGAAGAAAGACCGAATCGGGATGAAAATTCTGGATGCCCAAAGGGGAGAAGTAATTTACAGCCCCTAATTTTAGGTAAGTGGGTATTTTCAACTCTAAAGGAAAGAGGATTTGCTCTACTTGAGCAAACCCAGTAAGACTTTTAATAGCTTTGGTTGGATGTGATCTTCACAAAGGCTCGGGGTATTACATCAGACTCACCATATCAACTGGTTC